TGCTGCTCCAGAGTACATTGCAACAGGTAATGTATCTCTAACAAAAATGACAGCTTTCTGGAAACTTCATATATGATGCATGGTTTAGAAAAATCCACTAATAATAAGATTCTTGATAAACCCTCTTTCTCACTACCAATACTTACTAGCCCTTGAGCCTTTGACTTTGAGAGTTTGGTTGCAACTACCAGGGTAAAAAGGGGTCTGATTTTGGAAACCAAGCACAAAGAAACCCGAATATTTTACATTTCTGCTAGGGGGATTGACAAATGCGACAGCTTTAAAATGCATTCTGTTATGAACATGCGTTTAAGATAAAATTAATAACAGAAGTGCAGCTTTATCTTCTTTTAGTATAGTAAATCCGCTGCCTAACATCCACGCCTCAAATCAACAGGTCATTTGTATGTGAAGAGCGATGTGTATGGCTTTGGAGTTGTGTTGCTTGAAATTTTGACAGGGTTACGAGCACTCGATAGGAAGCGCCCTAAGGATCAACAACAGCTGGTAGAGTGGGTTAAACCACTTCTCCTTCATAAAAGAAAGCTGAAAGACATTCTGGATGTGCGGATGGAAGGTCAATATGCCTTCAAGGCAGCATTACAAACAGCACAGATTACTCAAAAGTGCCTAGCACCGGATCCTAAAAGCCGGCCCTCCATGAAAGAAGTTGTGGAGGAATTGGAAAAGATTCAAGCAATCAAGGAGAAGCCAAAGCAATCCAGACTTGCATCTGCGCAACCTACTTTTAGTTTTGGAAGCAATAAACAGTCTGTTCATCGGTCTCCGCTTCACTTTAGGTATCATGGCACTGAATAAATGAGGTAAAATGTCAATTACATAGGAACCTGTCATCAAGACCAAGCGCTAAGGATACTGCAAGTTGGTATGTTCAGGCATCAAAATTTAAAATGCTTGAACATTCATTTTTTCTCTCTCTTGTCAATTTCCATGGTGATTTTTTATTTTTTTGTGTAGCAATTGTTGAAATTCATAACCAATTTTGTACCTGTAGTCACCACCAGTTGTGATGAATTGGAGGATTGTTTGTTAAAACATACAGTTTTTTTCTTTGTTTGCCAAGCAATCAACAAATTCACAATATTCTTTAGTCTTTAGCAGAGCACAAATCTATCAAGCTCCACCTGTCAATCAACTATTGGTTTCACACATTATAATCATTGTTAACAACAATAATGCAATTACGTGGAAATATTAAGCAGCTGTTGAGCATTTGGAACATGCAGGGTTGGTTTGTCGCCCAACCTATGCAGCCACGGCACCAGATAATCCTAAAAAACAGGGGGGGTAGGGCAGTTCATGTTAATCGCATGCTGTTCTCGAAGATTAATATATTAAGTTTTGTTTAAACTGGTATTATGACTTTCATAACTGCAAAGAGAATGTTCAAACGCAATTGATGAATCATAACTTTATGGATCACCTTAATTTTGTTCTAAGTTAAACATTCTTAAATAAAAACATTACAAAAACATTTCACAAAATATATCATCGTTTTCTACAATAATATATTATTTGTATCGTATTTACGGACCACAATTATCTAATCGACAACGCATCCAGTGCGCCACGAGTCTTGAGATCTCATTTTACACATCAGTGGATCATATGATGTGACAATTTTTTAATATCAACGCATTCACTGCCATGTTTTAAAATTATGGTGGCACTAGAATAATTCTTTTTCTTTTATAATTTAAAAAAACCCCACAAATGACAAAGCGCAGAAGAAAATGTTAAAAAAAGGGGTGACATATGGAAGTACCTGTCCTTTCGGCTTCTTTTGAGTGCTTTTGTAACTTTGTAGTGTTGTGTTTCTGTGTGTATGGGTGGATGCTTTTGGTTCCTCATTTTTATACGAAAAACCAAACATCACTTTCTTCTAAACTCTTCTTCTCACACTCGTATTTTACGTGGTTTTCTGTGTTCTTCACCATTATCCTCCATTTTCTACGATCACAGTTTTTCTAAAATAAATGGGTGTTTTTGTGGCTCACTGGCTCACTCTGTATGTTATATATAGGCCTCAACTCTCTTAGTTCTTCATTGGGTCGCCAGAGGCCGACGCTCAGTGGCTCATTGATCAGTATATTCATGTAAGTCCTTTACGCTTATTCAGTTGCTTGTGTTGTGTGATTGGATTGGATGTTTCTTCATGAATATTTTCTTTTTCTTCTTTTGGCTGCTCGCAGAAACTTTAAATTTGTTTTGGGGTTTTATGTGTTCATTACTTGGAAGTTGGAACCCAAAATTAGCTTTTGACTGCTGAAAAAAGTTAAATACTTTTAATGGTATTTTTGGACTAGGTTGAGGTGGTTTTTCTGTTTTTACGTACAAAAGACGGTACTTTTAACGTATATGACTCTGAATTTCTCAAGTATATCTTTGTTGCTTGAGCTATTTTGTTGAACATGAAATTGATCACCGAGAAATACTGATATATAATATGACTTGAGGTTCTTGAAATCCGTGTAGTTGGGTGTCCTCCCTCGTGTTTGACAAATTGCTTCAGACAGGGGCCCGTTCGGTATCATCTTCTAGGGCCATTTTCTGTTTTCATGTGAAAACGTGTTTGGTGGGTTATTTTGAGAAACAAGCTGATATTGTTTTCTGAGAATGAAAATAAAAGTATGAACAAATGTTGAAAACGCCAGAAAGTAATTTTTGTTTTCAGTCTCTCGGAATCAAAGCCAACTCTTGTCCATTAAATGAGCAAACAATCCAATCAAATTATATCCAAAACAATCAAATCTCCTCCTTCCAACCATAATCAGCCCCAAAAGTTCAAGAAAAAAAACTCATAATCACACAAATCTGCAACTGAGAAAAAAAGACAGAGAGGAAGAAGAAAAGAAAAAAAACAAAGAGAGGAAGAAGAGAGGAAGAAAGAAAGAAAAGGAGATAAAGATAGTTTTAGCTTTTAAAAAGCAATAGAGTTTTTTATTTGTTAAATTATACATTTTTTAAAATACTTTTTCAAAACAGAAATTAGCAAAAATACCCCTGAAAAATAACTCACATAATATTATTCTCAATTTGTACTACCAGACCCATTTTATTTTCTGAATATGTTTTCTAATTAATCTACCAGAGTCATTTTCAAATCCTGAAAATGCAAATTTGTTTTCTTGTTTCATTCTTCGAAAATACTCTCCCTCCGTAAATATTCTTCGTTTTCTTGTTTCTATGTATCTTTGCCTTCCTTTCCATTTTGGCCTTGTTCTCTCAAGCAAACAAACATGTCTTGAGAATTTTCTACTATTTATGGAGGGTGTTAAGTTTTCATGTTGACTGAGGTTTTATTAGTCTTCAGCATCAGCAGGGTCTGTTTCTGTGCCAGATCAGACGATGGAGAAAAGCGTTATTGGTGCAAGCCAAAGGTTGGGGGGTTTAGGTACTTTCTTGAGGAAATGTATGTTTAGCGTTGTATCTGTGGGCCCCATTCCTGAGCACATTGCCTTCATCATGGATGGGAACCGAAGGTATGCAAAGAGGAGGAACTTACCTGTAGCGGAAGGTCATAAAGCTGGATATTTGGCTCTCATGTCCATTCTGAGGTACTGCTATGAATTGGGAGTCAAGTATGTAACAGTTTATGCCTTCAGCATTGATAATTTCAAGCGACGGCCCGAGGAGGTGCAAACTCTAATGGATCTGTTGCAGGAGAAGATTGAGGTGCTGCTTGAGAAAGAAAGTATTGTTAACCAATATGGTATCAGAGTATATTTTATTGGTAACTTGAAACTTCTGAATGAGCCTGTCAGGGTTGCTGCTGAAAAGGCAATGAAGGCTACTGCCAACAACTCCAAGGCTGTGCTTTTGATCTGTGTGGCCTATACTTCATGTGATGAGATTGTTCATGCCGTACAAGAATCCTGCAATGAGAAAAGGAATGAAATTCAGGCATTGAAAGGAACCAAGGTTAGCAATGGTGTGATTTATGGAGTTGAAAAGGGAGAGATGATTAATGGTGTGATGGAGTGTGATGTTCATAAATCATGCAACGGCAGTTTGGATGGAGAAGCAGCATTAGATACCAGTAAACCTTGCAGTGAAAGAGATGAGGCGGTTGAGAAGGAAAATACGACTGTTAATCATGTTGAAAAAGATAAAGGGGATGAAGTTGCAAGTAGAATTTGCAACGGTCTGATTGAAGATGTTCAAGAGAATGAGAAGTTGCTACACAAAATTCCTAATGTAAAGCTGGTTGATGTTGAGAAGCACCTGTACATGGCAGTGGCACCTGATCCAGACATTATGATCCGAACTTCAGGTGAGACTCGCCTGAGCAATTTCCTACTCTGGCAAACTTCTAACTGCCCATTGTACTCCCCTGCTGCTCTGTGGCCAGAGTTGGGCTTATGGCACCTGGTTTGGGCAGTTCTGAATTTCCAGAGAAACCACTACTATTTGGAGAAGAAAAGGAAGCAAATGTAACATTTTTAATGCCACAGAGATTTTGTAAATCATGTGGTAGCCATGCATAGATATACAGCATAGTGCTTAATATTACCCTGGAAGCTTGGAAAGCTTGAGCATGGGATACAAGCTGAAAATTTCCCTGTATTAGACCTAATTATTTGCTAATTAGATTGAATGTAATAATAATAACAGTATATCCATGTTTATATTCTTATTAACCATCCTAATTTCGTGTTGCGATTTACAAGTTTAATGTCTAGTGGACTCCGGATCCGGCACCAAATTTGATTATTCAAATCACTTTGCTTGGATTTATAAATTTGTGATCAACAATTGTAATCGCAACTATATACAGTTAAAGGCGGCTATAGCTTTTGAAAATGAAGCAGCAACCAAGTCAACTTTTTGATAATTGTTCCAGCCTAAAATTCGCGGCAGATATAAAGGCCACTTTTGTGGATAACCAACCTAGCCCCCCTTTCAATGGTCTTGATCAAAACCCCCTAGTTTGGGTTTTCTAGATGCCAGATAATGCCGTGTTGACTGGACTGACCCTTTTATATTGAGACAAAACTCACACCACTGCTTTATGCTGGAACCAGACTTTCATGTAAATTCAGTCTTTTCAAGTTCTTTGCAGCATTGTATCTCTGCATTCTTAACTTTGTCATGGCTCTGTCTCTTCGTTTCTATGGAGTTTTTGTTGTTCTACTAGTTTCCCTCCTCTTAAGTAAAGCCTCCTCTACCTCTCACCACGAGCATCACCACCAACTCAAGTCCCTCCACTTTGCGCTCTTTCAACACGAAACCATAAACAGAACCGGATATATTGTAGTGAACGGTGTAGGTGGAGCAGGCATTAGTCAAACCACTACACCTTTTGGCACCGTGTTTGTTTTCCAGGATCCGATGACCGTCACAGCCAATCGATCTTCGAAAGTAGTTGGAATGGCTCAAGGAACTTCTGTCACCTCCAGCTTGGATGGGCTTCAGAGCATCTCAGTAGCTAAGATCACTTTGCGTTTAAAGCACCACTCTGGTTCAGTTTCCATAGTAGGAGGCACCCATAACGTTAAGCCCTCTGATCATCCTGTTGTGGGAGGCACTGGTGATTTCCTGTTTGTGCAAGGCTATGTGACATCATCCCCAGTCAATCTTAAGGGACTTACTGTTGTCTACAAGATTGAATTTCACCTTTACTGGCCTCCATATGCAACTCAAGGTTCTTAGTGGTTTGATTAGTATCTCAACTTTAGCTTTAATGTTATTCTTATCTTAGGATGTAATAAGATCGATTAGATTGTGGATTATCTTTAAATCCATTTAATTTCAAAAATAAATTTACATAACACGAATCAAAATTTCGATCCTGTAATTAACATCATAATGAAAATACAGAATTTCCAAGTTACAACTGACAAAAACCACATCCATGATAACACCACCTGAAAAGCTTGAACAAAGTGCAAGCATTTACACAGAAAGGAATGATGATAAGAAGGCACTACCAACGCAGCAGGTGTTTACATGTGGTATTAACCTTCACGTATAATTGATAATAAAAAAATTCAAGACTATGTGGACTACAAATCAAAGAATCAGGTACTGTGAAGCAAACAGGAAATGCTTCACAGGAAATTGAATTAACCATAGCATTCTGAACCCAGAATCAACACCGAGGCTTGTGTAGACGGGGTCTATTGCAGAAGATACGCCCATTGGCCCTCACAAATGCAGCTATAGCAACACTTAGACCAGCCCATATCACTGAGAAGAACAAGTGCCGTAGATCGTACCTTACTGCAAAAGAATGGAAGACAGAAAAATCATTTGATTGCAGATTCACAAAGATGTTTACAACTCTCTCCAGAAAAGAACCCACTATGAACCAACATTATACCAGTCCCATCCCACCACCCTTTCATCACCAAGCCATGAATTTCTCCAAATCTTATTTCGTCATAGTATAAACTGTTTATATTTACCTTGCCTCAATGACAATGTTGCGAAAAAGAACCCTGTCAAAACGAATGATAAAGCCAGTGGAAATGACTGCAAAATGAGATAAAGTGAGTTAAGAGGCTGATAAAGGTCATGAGTTGGGTAATAAAAAACAAAGTAATGTAAGACGCAAAGTCGGTTTTATTGTGAGATTTATGAAAAATTACATTTGAAACTGTAATGAAAAATCCTAAAATCTTAATTAAAAAACTAATGGACACAAAGCTTCTACTTACAGCAACAGCCTCAAGTCCTCCCTTTTGAGATGATGGTGTCATATCTCTGCTGACAGAGACAATGTAATGTCCTTGCAGGAGGTCAATTGCATCCTTCAGGTATTTCCACCCAAAAAGAAAATATTTAATACTTAAAAAATGCGAGATTTATGCACAGAGAGAAGAAGAGATGATAATAGGAAGCACACCAACCTGTTTGGTTCCATCAACAAAGTTATTGAAATAATAGCGTAGAAGGGCATTGATTCCATCCTTAGCAATCCCTTGCATTGTTCGCTTCCCACATCTAATATCCAACCAAATAGAAAAAAAAAAAGAAAATTAAAAAATTTAATTGTCCAAAACAAAAGCTAAAAGTTTAAATCTTATTTTATGTCAGTTCTATAATGCTTGTCACATCATAAATATAGCTACATGCTCCCAAATATTCCAAAGTTTTCCACCCATGTTTTCCTCAGTCAGAATCACATATTCTTGAATAAGAATGCATCACATGCAAAGACAAAGAATTTCAGAGTAGATCCACGTTCACGTACCTTACAAAATCCCCTTTCAAAGCAGCAGTGCCAGAATACTGGATGCTTATATCATCCCCATGATTAGCCCACACTGGAAAAAAGAAAAAATTGATAGTAACACACACGTTCGTGCACAAACCCACAGACATGGTAAGCATTCTAACTCTAATCTTTATATGCTAGAGACACACACACACAGATGGTAGAAGAAAAGTAAGCGAAATGGATGTACTCACGGATTTTAAAGCATTCGTCTAAATTGGGATGTGAGCTAATAGTTTCTTCAGCAGCAAAAATCCCAAGCCTTCTAAGTTGGCATTCCAACATATTTCGGGCTATCATGCTCTGCAACCAATAACAATTTTAGGGAATGAGTGATGGCAAAAATATTGCATAACTAGAACCATCAAGGTGATTATAAAATAGTAGTAGTCTGGCTTTGGCTGCTTAACTAATATGGATTTTAATCATAGAAAAAAAGAAGTAATAATAATAATAATAAATATTTAAAAATGTGGCATCCCTAAAAGTAGCCGCTTTCTTGCTCGTCTTTTCCTCGAAAATGGGAAAAACAAACTACTTTGGTTGTATTTTAACCTACCTGGGTAACATTTGTACGATCTAAGCAATCAATGCAATTGGTCCTTACAACTCCTAGTTGCTCCTTCATTTTCTCACCCTTTTCATTCAATAGAAGATACCTGCATGTCAATCCTCGTAAATAAGTGAGAAGAACTAAGATTACAGAGTGCTACTGTTAGGCATTGAGTAAATAATTGACTTTTGATAAATACATCGTCATACATATGCATGGGAGAAAAATCATTGAATATCAAAAGAAATAGGAGGAGAAATATGAGCTCTTTAGTTCATTTATCAACCAGCACTTTTAAAAGGAAATTTCTGAATATCTTCTTAACAAACTCTGAGGTTACATAACAATTTTGGTCTTGGTGTTAGCTAATGTATATGTTGTAGGTCCATTCCCTAACAAATTGAGATTTTTCTTTTGGGGTACAGTAGTAGTCTAACATTTGGTAATTATCAAGGTGATTTGTCACATACCATGCATCTATGCCATATCCACATCAGATATTAAACCTGTGAATATGTCCTCGTTGCCTAGTATCACAGATTACAGCGTATTAAAAAGCCACCTATGCCTATACACCTATTCATTAGAAAAAGTTAACTATGCCTACACATTTCTCTGCAGGATGCAACATAAGTGTCTAGGATTAATCTATTTCTGTGAAACTACCCTCAAAATATAAATTTGAAAAGGGCAAATGAAGTGATTTATACTCGAGCAAATGTCAAGGAGTGAAATTAATGGACCATTTGATGAGAAACATACCCATTCCTGTCGAGGAAATCTACAATTTGTTCATAAAGGATCGAGAGGCGCTCAAAATGGACGTGCCCACAGATATGATGAAAATCGAAGTGCCAATATCTACAATATTCAGCAGGTCCCACCATGAAACATATCTATTACTACTGCCAAAGAAAAAAAAAAGGAAGGGTGAAAACGGATGAGGTGAAAGGTACTCTACCTTAGATCATCACTAACAATATGCTGCATTGCATTTGCAAATTTCTCACTCAAGCGTCCTTCACCTCCATGCTGGTAAGATAAGAAAGCATCATGAGAACACCCAAAATTGTGTGCAAACTGACTTATATGGATGTCAAATAATGAAAAGTTCAATAGTGTGCACACCTATGAGTATACTGACCCACAAACTTGTGTGCATATCCACAATCTTTACATATATATATATACAGTTATTCTTTTATTCGGATGTCCGCACGTTATTATCGTGCGGATGCTATTGTAAACAGGCAGCAAAGTAGGGAGGGGTGGTACACAATACATGGCGTCCGCACGATAATAACGTCTAGATGTCTGCATAGGAGAATTTCTGTATATCAGTTATTCTCTTGTTCGGATACAGAAATTCTCCTATTCGGATGTCCACACGTTATTATCTTGCGGATGCTATTGTAAACAGGCAGGAAAGCAAGGAGGGGTGGTACAAAATACATGGCGTCCGCACAATAATAACGTCCGGACGTCAGCATAGGAGAATTTCTGTATATATATATATCATGCACACATACATTTGTATGGAGTACACATGCGTGCGTACTGGTTGTCTATTATCATATAAGTTATTCCACAAAGTTTCGAAAAGAAAGAGCGCACCGTGTTCACAAGATCAACAGCTAACACAGCCCCATACTTTTTTCTTAAATCCAGAAAATGCCGCTCGGCCACTCGGGGCTGCATAACATTGAGTACACAAGCAGTCAAATGGAGATAGAATGCTACAGAAAGAATCTTAGAATGTAAAAACAAATAACCATCAACTCACAGATTCCTCAAGTTGCACAAGTTCAAACTTAGGCTTATATGTTAAATCAACAATTTGCTCCCAAAGCAACGGAATTGACCCCCTAACCTGCAAAACGCAATTAACGATGTGTAAACCATTTAGACAGTTAACTTTACCATTTAGGATTAGGACAGTTGATCAGAAACCCCCACAAAAAGGAGGAACCAAGTAGACAAAAATCCATAACATGATTGCATATGTACAGTTAGACATCATTTTACCTGGACAAATGATGCCGTAAACCCATTCAAGTGCATAATCTGCTCAGTTTCCACAAAATTTGCTACATACCCATCAGAATCAGCTCCTCTTCTCCACATTCGAGTGCCTTTCGAGAATGCAAATTGTTAGACTAGATTAACAATGACATAAGTTTTATCTCTGATGGATTTCACGCCCCTAACTGCATAAGATTATATAACCTCTACAATCCCAAGTTTTAGTATAAATATAGTTCTGCTGAAAATGCATATGCTATCCACATATATCCGCACCAGAAATCACTAGATCTTTTACTTCCTCCTGAACAGAACAGATGCAACAGAGTTAAGTTCAGCACAACACTCTAGATGTTCTAGTACTTTCTTACTGTACCATTCAACTGTCCTCTTTCAGTTACGTATTGAAGTGAAGAGTAGTTGGTCCATAGCTCAAACACTTTTAAGTCCATGCCAAAATAATATTTTAAATATCCAAATCTTAAGTTCTCCTTCATAGATAGTATGGTACTAAAACTAACATCTGTAATATCCACATATCTGCAATTACATGCATATGACAATTATAAAATAAGCAGACCATAGCAATAAATAAATAACTGAAAAGTACAAGCTTTGAATACCATTTCTCCTAGTGCATCTCCTAGCAATCAGAGTAACATCAATAATATCTTTTCCAATGGCTGCTTGAAAGTGATGAAAGCCTGATGATCAATTAAGGAGAACCTTCCAATGGAAAAACAATTTATAATTCCAATACCAGCACACAAATGGCAATAAACAAACTAAACAACACACTTGTGTATGTGTATATTAAATGTATGCTCATGCATCCATGTTCTATGCGTGGATGCAGGCACATGCATGAGAAACATCTAAAACTGAAAGCAAAAACGAGAAAAGGATACTCCCTTGAACAATAGGAAGCAGATACGGGTCAAGCTGCAAACAAAGACCGTATCAGTGCTCAGCAGTTAGTAAATTGGGAAGTAATAGTTCTGCAGAAAACTGAGCAGGTAACAGTAAAACTTGGCAATGACCTCACCTTACTATCTATAAGCCCTTCCAACATATAATTGTTCCAGAGAAATCTAGGCTCTGCCTGTGGCAAAACATTTGGAGATATGAGATTGAAACCATGAAGACCAAGCATAAAACATGGATATGTGAAACCATCATTTATACATAACTTTAGAAACAATAAAAAATAGGATCAATTTCAGTCTTCCATTGTCAAACTCAAAACACTTCAGAGAAAAATAATAATAAAAGTCAGTCAGTTACTGCAAATTACCTGTCTCCAAAGTGGAAGCAATTTGGATTCATCACCTAAATCATGCAATCGCTGTGCACTGCAATTACACACAAATTTTATCATAATGACTAGCACAATTTTGAGTCAAATATAATGTAACCCTACTTCTTCTTCTTGTTTCTCATGGGGGCTTGAGGGGAGGGTGGGCAACTTAATGTAAAAAACAGTTCACCTCAGCGTTAAATTGGTCTCATATGAGAAATAAAGACCAGGAGTCCTCTCTGCTATATTTAGCAGCCCAGAAAACTCAGTCTCCATCTTTTTCTGCCAAGAAGGTATAACAATAATAGAGTCACATAAGCACTCCCCGATAAAGAAAAAAAAAATCAATAGGAACCATATAAGAGAGACTAAAGAAGTGGTAAAAGGTAAAGCAACAAAAGATTTACCTGTTCTGTAGGGGAATTCTTTAAAGAGTGGTCACAGGGGAAAACCTTCAACGATGAAACTTTAAAGATAGGATGCCCCAAGTAAGAACCGACACATTCACGGTCTGTTATAACCATCAAATATGATCCTGAAAGAATAATGGATTAAGATAAGAGAATTGGAAAAGCTGAAACTCCAAGGGCAGAAAGAATTACACAATTTCTCAATAATACTTAGTCAGTGTGTAACAAAAAAAGGATTGGTTAATGTACAAAGTCACATTATAAATAAATAAAAACATATTAAAAAAACGGGGACATGGGTCTCAGATGGGCAACTAACCGGCATATAAATCATTACAAATATAAGATTCCAAATAAAAAAAAAGATAGGCAATGTTACCTGCCAAAAGCTTTAGAATTCCAACGACACCAAAAATAGTTCGAATTTTAGGAACCCGAACAGAGTTTGAATCTGGAAGCTTCTCTGGAGAATTGGAAAACCCAAATACACAAAACAATAAAATGTCTAGCATTAAGCCAAGAACTGAAATCAAGATTCTTAGTTTACAAAAGGCCAAGAAAACCCACCAATGAGTTGCATAGACCCATCAACCCTACTAACTGCCAAAGAGGAACCATGAGAGCCATCAGTGGGCTCAATCACATACTGATCCGGAAACTCCCATAGCCGCATTCGTGTGTATAGCTTCTGCCCAGAGTCAGCCTTCTCCATCATATTACTTGGTAAAAACCCAAATCACTGAAAATCAAACAGTCACAAACAGACCCAATATTTCAATTTCATCTCAGAACTAACAGAGTTGAATAAATTTCAAATCTTTGTCCAAATTGAGAAACTGATCGAGACATAAACAACATTACAATTTGATAAAGATACCTGTTTAGAGATCACCGCGTGAAAATGGCGTGTAAAGGAAAAGAATAATAATGAGATCCAATCTCTCTCCAAATTCTTGTGAAAAGGCAATGAAAGAGATCAAAGAGCAAAGCTAAAGCTTTTGGGAGGTCTGACAAATTGACAAAGTAAAAGAAGAACTTGTGAGGCTAAGGCCGTGTTTGCCTGCGTGTCTTACGAAACGCATAAGCCGGTAACGGTCTCTCTCTTCTCTCTCTTCTTCTCTTCCAAGCTTTTAACGAAATTTTGGGCGGAAACTCTTATAACTGATTTTGCCCAAAAGAGTGTCGGAGGACTTGAATTAGTCAGAGAATTAAAAATTAAAATACGAACGTGGAAATTTTTGATTGGTGGGTCAGCCAAGTATTTGGGGGACCCAGAGAATTGGTCGTTGTGGAAGTTGGATTGAACACCGTTAGATGTACATACTACTGCTGAACTTGGACGGTTCTAAATTCAGTTTGTACCCTTTTGGCACCGGTTGCACACGTGTCAACAGTTTTTACTCCACCGGTGTGTAAACGGTAACACTTCTTTTTTTTCAATTTTGTTTCTTCGTGTATTTTACAATTTCCTCCTCTTTAATTAAATTTATTTTGTTCAATTACCATTCTAGGTTTTTAAATTTATTTTTGTTCAATTAGCATTTTATGGTCTTCAAAAGTCTATATCCAAATTTAGATTCTCGTACAACCTTAAACTCGAAGCACTTAATGAAAGTAATTTTTTATCATAACATGAATCAACAAAATATTCGGAAATATAATATCAACAAAAGATATCCACACGTCCATATATATGTACTAATTAAGTGTTTCGAGTTTAGGGTTTAAACAAACTACTTGAATTGATATTGAACTATCTCGTACTTCCACCGGTCTAAACCCTTCAAACTCACGCATCCCGCCCTAACCTTAATTACAAATCCATATATATAGATGGTTTTCCTTTTTAACCTGGATATTATACCACACATGCATGTATATAGTTATGACCCCACATTCATGAAATCCAACGAAGAAATGTTTGGTTTTTGAGCAACAGACACTAAAAAAACCAAGAAACGAAACACGTATATCAAAACAAAAATTATATACATTTAATAACAAAGAATATAGAGAAGAAATAGACTTAACATCGATAGACTCAAACATATATTAATCTGTCTCTCCGGCTGACGGCCACCGGTAATGAAATCACCAGGGCACACCAGTTACAGAGAAACAGTGACACAAACAAAGACACTCAAATTACTTAAGAAACGCCAACGCGCTTATTACGATCTATGCCAAATGCGCGTTACTTAACATGCATGCTTGCATGCACGTTTAATTAACCAGTCTTGGCAGCGCCACCACTACCGCCGCCACCATCCTTATCCTCGTCTGGGGGAAGCATGTTGAGGTCGAAGCCGCCGCTGCCACCACTTTCATTTTCCTCTTCTGGATCACTTGCCTCATTCAGGTCAAACCCACGCAGCGCACCGAGCCTTTCCCCTGCACAAACCAAGAACATCAATTAAAGATTATAAGAAAATTGATTAATTAATGTTTAGTGTTACTGCGCATCCATGCATGCAGTGCCATTTGTCAGTTGATATATTATTTATACCTTGTTGCAGGGCTCGCTGTGCTTCTTCGAATCCAGGGGGTGGGAAGCAGCCCCTCCATTGACGCTCTGGGTGGCAACGCATGTGCCCAAACAATGCTTTCCAAGAGGAAAAGTTTGAGCGTTTGCATACGCTGCAAACCGGGCTCACTCCTTCGGGGGCAGTTATCTCCGCTTTGCGCTTGGCCCGTGGTGGAGAGCCGCTGCTGCTGCCAGGAATCAAGCTCCCTCCTGAGGTCCCTGACCCTCCTCCTATAGTGATTTCCACACTGAGAGGAGTGAAATTTCTCCCACCAATCTGAGTGATTTGTCCCGCTCCAGGAGAAGCGTTAAAGGACGATGACCCTCTCCCAGAAGAGGGTGATCCTCTGCCGCCAGGAGGAGACTTTCTGCCAGAGGGCGAAACCCTCCTAGGGGTGGATGACCCTTTGCCAGAGGGTCCTCTATTGAGACCAGGAGGACTCACAGAGGACCCTCTAGCAAAATTGAGTTGAGCAGTGCTCGGAGGGGGAGGGTTTGGAAATGATGGAGTACCAGTAGCAGCAACACCCGTAACGTTAACATTAACGTTGTCGTTACAGGGTTGCTGCTGTCCCTCAGCGGAGGAGGCCAGGCGGTTGGTGGTGTTCTGCTGGTTAGCCATGGTGTTGTGAGAAAAATAGGTAACTATATGTCCGTGCGCACATGGTGCCCTAAACGTTTATATAATATTTGGTTGGCAAAACCTTGAACTTTGTTTACAACTAGTTAGGGTTGTAAAGGATGCGTCTCTCAATCTCAATGCGCACATGGTGTTCTGTATAAAGGATGCGTCTCTCAATCTCAATGGGCACTCCAATGCGACTCTTCATGTTGTAATGGGAACTTCTGGAAAATAATATGCAGGGCGCCACTTTGTGTAGGGTTGTGTTCTTTCAATATCGGCCGTTGAGGTTCATGTGTGATCCATCACACGGTGGTAAGTGGTGGTCCACGCATGAAGGTACGGCCACATCGCCGATCACGATTGGGTACCTTTTCATAGAGGCAGGAAGCGAACCGGTTGGGGATGAGAGACGCAATGAAAGCTTTGGTTATTGAAATGACAATTATGACCTTAGGAAAATAATTGTTGCAAGTACACCAAATATGGAAAAATCTTCGTTTGTAACAAGCTAAGATACATTGCACCTGTAATTCGAATTTGGAAAATAGGTAATTAGTATTAAATTACCGCAGGAATGAGCTAAGTATCACTTGTCATATTACTTGTCTAACCAGATATGGTACATCCATAAATTTCATACAACAAAGTGAGAAGTAGATATATTTATGAGTTGGCCAAATTCAACTTCAATGGCTAATTAACATGTCATATGTATTGACCAGCTTTCGGATTTTTTTTCTTTTCAATGTTGAAATAGGTCTTAAGTTGTTGGAGTCATCTCTTATTTATTGGTTAAAAGAAAAATTACATGCCAACGAGGGTTGGTTAAGTTAGTAAGGATTGTTCTCTTCGCTATCAAGGCATATGTTCGAGTCCCGCTGTCAACAATCCTTCTTGGTGAGTAATCTATAAACCAAAAAATGGACTAAGACCCCCTATGTAAGTCCTCAAAGAGGTCTTGATATGCTCTAGTTTAGGGATGGGGTAGCCTCCCCCTAAATTTTCGTTCATCCAAAAAATAAAAAATTACATGACGGGATTGATTAGGTCAATGACACAAGCACGGACCTGTAGCTTCACCTGGGCTACAGCCCGGGGGCATTAATTTTTTTACAGTCCAAAGTAAATTTTAGCCCGCCTACTCTTTAAAAAAATACCCACATGTCTTGGGCTAGGGCATAAATAGATGTGATATATAGGTTAAAGGAATAAAAAAATAACAAATGTTTGCCCTGAACTTGGGCAGGCCGACACGCATGGGTAGTATAAAGATAAACAAACTATATATAATTGTTTGTTGGTAAAGAATACTATATAATTTTATTATAAGAGAGAACTAATGTTTTCGGTCAAAGGGAGAAATAGAGCTTATGAGAGAAAGTGTGTGTTTTTAATATTTTTTTTTGTTTGTGTTGTATTTAGGCTTGTATTTTCTTCTTCATTTTTTGAAAAACAGACGTTGCCTCTTTACAACAAAAAATTTAGTATTTAACATGTAAATTTTGCTTAGTTTAACATAAAATAAAATTCACTTATACCATTAAGTTGAACATGAAATTTTTTCGTACCGTCGAGTTTAACATGTAATTTTTTCGTACCGTCGTATCTTGAAGATTTAGCCTGCCCCAATTTGGAATCCTGGGTCCATCCCTGCAATGACATGTAGGCTATTTGCAACTTTTCAAAAAGCTCATGCCAAATTATCAAATCATTTTTACCATCAGACAACTTCCACTTAGCTAATTAGGATTAACTAAATGAGGGAATACTTTGAATTAGTTCAATATTGTGGCAACGGAATAAATTAAAGAGAGATATAAGTTAAATGAGTTAATCATGAGTTGGGCCAGTTGAACGACATGGCGTTTGGTTAATTTATAATTTTATTGAGTTCGTTGGAAGTTGAAAAACAAAGATAAAAAAAGATGGGATATTTGTATAATTTTGCAAGCACTCCTTGGTAAACAAATTTTTCCAAACCATTCATATGACGAAATTTTCTTAAGTATGTACACTGAGGACTGCCAGGCCTCCGGAGAGAGAGACCATAATCCATTGAGAATAGCTTGTGCCACAAACTTAAGGCTCGTATTATCAGCTTATTCACACCCAAAATGGGCACTTTAATACATCTCAGGTCCAGCATGACCAATCTCAGCAGCCACCACATGAACATAACCAGATTAATAGAAAAGTTGCTACTACAACCTATAAACCGGAATTCCCCAAAAGTCGCTCTACTGCTGCATGGACGTTTCCTGCAGTGGCCATCAGAGCCCTTATGTTCTCTTGTCGGTCAAAGAAACCCATCTCCTGAAGTTGTGAAAGCTGTGCAGCATAGAGTTCTTCCGGTGGCACTGAAATATATGGGATAGGATTAGTACAGAACAAACAAAGGAAATCCTTTTCTAAGAAATGATAAGTAAGTAGTAACCATCAGGCCTATTGTGAACAGCCAGGCTGCCAGTGCCAAGCCCACCAAACATGTTCATCAGCGTCTCTAGCCCCGTGTTATTGAATGATCCTGTTTTCACAAAACCATTAACATGCAACCAATTACCGCGATGAATATATTTGAAACAGAAAAATGATTGCTCTCCTCTTTTAAATTAGGCAAATGACAGGGAACGTTTTCCTGGAATCTCACTTCACAATATGGTTTTCATTCATTGAAAATTAGAAATAATAACCCACCCTGTACCAAATTTTAACCCAACCCATCACAAGTAAAGCATTCAGTGTGACAAACACTGTTAGGAATAGTTTCAAGTGATGCAATGCAGACAAATTGAATTGCCTGTGCAAACATCATCTCCTAAAATCTGTCAGGCATACAAGTAGTTCTGAAGAAAGGCAAATAGAAATTGGATATTGACTTGGATACCTGCGGTTCCACCAGTTTGACCTGTTTCCCTGCAAGAACGACTGATTTAGTACAACTCTATGAGCAAAAACCAGTAATGACAACTGATCAAACAGAAGCAATGCAAATAGTATTATATGGCAAAAAATAAAAATGGCCCAAGCCAGGCCTGCAGGTAACAGAAATAAACCAATTAAAGTTATGAGATGCAGCAATCTGAAACATAGCCAAAGCCAAAAGTCAGCATGAAGCTTAATTGGAAATATCACTAAACTAGGGGTTTTTGTTTACTGTGATCTTCCTGACCACCGAAAAGGAAGCACCAATGAACATGCACAGTTATGTTATGTATTATTTTCCCATCAGAGTTGATTCAATGATCCTGAGCCAATATTTCTAAACTAAGTGACTAAATTTATTATTTGTCCAACCAGTTGAACCAATGATCAGCACCCAACTTTTTTACAACTAAATGCAAGGTCAGGACAAATAATGACAATAACAATTCAAAGCTTAGTCCAGAGGAGAAAGTAAAACATCCAATTGAACTGGCCAGGAACTGTTGACATACAGTTTCAGACTTCAATCAAGTTGCATAATTAATCCATAGTGGTCAATATGGAATCCTCAGGCAGCTAAGGGAGAAATATCAATTCAGGATATATCTATCAGACATATCGAACATAAAATTATGTCACTTCTTACTGGGTTGACTGTTGCTGTTGCCGACCAAACTGAGACATAAGTGATTGCTGCACAGTCAAGAGCAGCTGCAAGAGAGGAGACAAAATAAAGGCAATGAAGAAGCAAGAATCAAATAGGTACCGTTTTCAAGTTTAATCATTAATTGGACATCATACGTCACTCTTACATATGCAAACATTAGCGGCTCTGTCTCCCAGGTTAAACTCATTCAAAACCACAAAAAATAAGGTTTACTATTTATTCCAGTTGACAAGATTCAAGTGAACTAGGAGAGAGAGAGAGAGAGAGAGAGAGAGAGAGAGCACATGCATGTGTCAAAAGCTTAGGCACACTGAACAACTATACCTGCATAGTCTCAGGAGAAGCCAACTGACGAAGAAATTCAGGGTTTTGCATCATTTCTCTTAAATGAGAATTGGAATCAAGCATGCTTCGAAACTGGGGGTTGGAACCTAGAATCTGCAGACGGGTAATGTTAAGAAAAGAGAAATTTCATCCTCAAGCTTATTCTATTAGAGAATAAAATGATACCTGGTTCATATACTGAGGATTGGAGATGAGGCTTTGCATTATTTGAGAAACAGCTGGATTTTGCATAAACTGATTCATTGAATTGTAATCCTGTGGCGGGGCACCCAATGCTTCAAACTCTGGAAAGTTAAGTCCAGCTATGGGAGTTGGTGTCTGCAGCCTAGCATCACCGATAGGATTCGATGCTGTGGTGTTCGTTTCGGCAACTCCAGCTGCTAGATTCAGATCTAGTTAACGACTGATTTAAGGACTAAAACAACATTGGAACATAAAAATCTTGACCTTAACCAGAGGAAGCAAAAGGTTGGAAAGTTTCCTAAAGTTCTTCATTGTATTGTGGCTAATATTGTTACTACCACAGCTATTTTGGACAAAGCAGCAACCAATTCAATTATAAGTTGAAATCAGAGAAGATGCCTGCTAGCTTAAGTGGTATCTTCCGCTTCACCAAGGATGAGAAAAGCCTAATACCTCTTATCTAGTCCACAGCCCAACCCTCCTCTTATCTAGAAAAATTGAATACTTTTCTGCCTCGTCATACTTTGTGCCATTGACTGATAGATGAAATACCACATCTTTATCCGGACAACATAGAATGTTATAAAAAAAGGATCATTAAGAGATGTGCAATATGTCCCAACGAACATAAAGGACTCAAAGCAAACAGAGTTTAAACTGTATCTTCAAAACCAAAACATTGTAGAACAGAAACAAGTGAGCAAGGGCTTACTGCCTGTAGAGGACCATGGGTTGGGAAGCGGGTTAGTATTTGGAGCGGGAGAACCATTCATTGAATCAGATCTGGTTTGGTTGCCACCTTGGGCCCCCAAAAGAGATGCAAATGGGTTTGAACCATCACTCCCAGCATTCCCAGCCATTGTTGTTGCATTCATAAATGGCTCTTGTACGTTTTCATACATCCGCCTGAGCATGTTAAATCCCTCAGGAGTAGCTTCAATGTTGCTCATGGCTCTGTCAGTGTTACGCATCATCTCACGCATAAGCTCGGGGTTTCTTGCTGCTTCAAGTGTCTGACGGAGCGTGCCAGGATCATTAAGTACGTGTGCTAGCTCGGGATTTCGATCAATAATTTCACGCATTTGAGGGTTGTTCATAATCAAGTTCCGCATTATGTCAGGGTTATTCATAAGATTTTGAACGGCAGGCGTGTTCATTATGTCTCTCATTACGCTGGGGCTCTGAGTCAATTGTTGCTGCACTTGTTCAAAGTCAGGAAGCCCAGCTCCAAACAGACCACCAGTGCCACCCATACCATTAAGTCCGAGTCCCGGGAATGGTGAGGCTCCAAAACCAGACCCTCCCAATGTTCCACCATCATTGGATCCAATACCCCTTGCTTGGGTGGAATTTGCAGCTCCAGCATTGGTTGCACCAGCAGGGTTGGCTGACACAGGCGGTGCAAAACCACGAACCAAGTGAACAGTGTGATCTGCCTCCAAACCTATTGATACCAAAGAACAGAAGCCACGGTTAAGCAAGACTTATCTTTCTTTTTTTTTGGAAAAAGTTAAGCAAGACTTATCATAATAACAGAACATCTTTAAAGTCTGCAAATGTAATCAGTACTGCTCCATTATAAATCTTAAGCTTCACTTACCAAATAATTTAAGCCTAAATTGTTGTCTTCTACATGACAAAGATTTCTTCGCTGGGAATTGTCAAATGTCTAAACAAAAAATTTCAGAGCATGCACCCCAAGCAACACTACCAGCAACCACAAAGACAAATAAAACAAGCAAGGTTCCCAGAAATTATTCTTTAAATGAGCTTCTGGCACACGTACATTTATCAATAAGAAAAAAGAATTTTAAAAAAATTCAAAATTTAAAAAAAAAAATTATAGCCCGGTAACTTCAGAGCAAAGGTTCATAGTCAAAAGCCTTTTGGGGAAAGGAGATGCAACCAGATTCTATGCGTGTGAGATGAGGAATGCTCTCTGCTCCTAGTGACACCAGCCCTATTATTCAAGTTTTTAGTCCTGCTTTCTCTAATTCTCTCAACCATAATATCAAAGGGTTCAAGTCGATTACCTAAGGAGCAAACCCAACATTACACATTCTGGTATCTGTATAATCCATAATTACACATTGGATGAAGATTGAACTTCAACTATATCACCAAGCCTCTGCCACAATGTAATGTGAACTAGCACCCTAAGTAACTTGAAAATGCATCTATAGTGGAAAGAAAACATAACACAAATGGATCAGAGAACACATTGATTCAATCACAGCAGTGAAATGAAAACCCATCTCAATTCTGTACCACAAAACACACACCAAAATACAAACATACATGAAATTGTTTAATGTGGTGAAAAAATAAGAAATAGATAGTACCGTAGCTTTGGACGGTTTGATCGTCCTTTAAGATCCGACCCTTGTAAATCAGACGCTGCTGCTCGGCCGGAATGTCGCATTTTGGCGAGAGAACTTCCTTGAACGATCCAACGGTGGATTCGAGGCTAATCTGAACGGTGAACTTGGAGCCATTGGAGCATCTGACGTTGACGTTGACCTTGACTCCATCTCCATCGTCGGAGTAGGTCCCGTCGTCCACAGAACCCTCACCTCCTCCTCCCATAGTCGGAGGTGTCTCACACTCTGAAATTTCAAAAACTCAGTGACAATATCAGACGGATCAGAGCGATGCTAGAAACCCTAGCGGAACTAGACTTGGACGAAAATTTGGGTCGTGATTGGGGGGTTTGAGGTACGATGAGGGATTGAAGGGGGAGAGAGCTCACAGGCTTCAGCTGGTGGATGAATGCCAATGGGAAAGAAGAGAAAAATAAATAAATAAAGAGAATTTTATAATCAAATAAATAAATAATTGGTGGAATCTGAGGTGCCTTAGCCCACCCAAGCCAAGGAAGGTATATAAAAAAAAACCAATGGGATTTGTCCTTTTTTTTTCTTCTAATAATATGTTTGATATGAGAAAGTAAAGGGTTTAAAAGAGCATTATAAAATTATTCTTAAAAAAGAAAAGAAAAAAAAAAGAGCATTATAAAAACTATTAAACCAAAAAAGGATTATAAAATCATCCTATAATCTTAAATTGAATTGTAGTACTAAATTGATAAATTTAAATCATGTAACCCTTGATTCTCAGTTGGGGATTAGTGGCATTTTCTAGAGAAATCCTTTGTCTATGAATAATCCATCCCTTAAAAATTTAACAATTATTCTAACAATTGATTTATTGATTTTTTTTACAAACGGTATTGAGAGAGGATTTGAACATAAAACTTTAAGGGGAGATATAACTGCTCTAAACTATTTGAGTTACATGCCTTTTGCAATTGAAAAAAATAAACTAAACATGAAAAAATTAAAAGTTAAAACGGAGTTAGTGCATGAGTTGGAGACCTCGTGTTCGACTTCAATCCACGTTGTTTAAAAAATTATTGACTTTGAACATTGTTATATAGAGTCAATGCATGAGTTATTACCATGAGTCTATATTTTAATTCACGTCCTTTAGAAATTTTTTTTTTTTTTTTTGGACATACTTTAGAAAATTAGTTAGTTTGAACAATGCTACATAACCCAAAGTTTGTAACATTTTTTTTCATAACCTAAGTTATTGACTAATATGTGATGGTATGTGTGTGACTCTAATTATGTGCCATATAAAAGTTGAAAAGTCCAGACAAAAAGGTAAAGATAAAACTGCCATAAATAGCTCCATAAGAAATTTGGTTTTCAATTGACATGGCATGCGTAAATCACCTAAACTTCAGGGGTGTTTGCGCAATTAAACTAGGTTTATAAGAAAGACAATTGTAAAGCACAAATTCTCACATTTGCTTGTGCTGCAAACACATAATCAAAAGGTACCAGAAAGCGCGCCATGATATTCATCTTCCGATGGCGATAATAACCCCGGGAGGCTCCAATAATTACTTGTTATCTCGCCTCAGAGCCCTAATAAAACAACAGGTCTCTCTCTTTCTCTACTTCCCTGAGCTTCTGTTTTCGTTCAGGCATTTTGTCGAACACGTGGGTGACAATGGTTTCCTAATGAGCAGAGACTCTTCCATGCATTGTCTGAAGGAGGATTGCAAGCTCAATTTCACACTAAAATGGTGCCAGACTCGGTTCCTGACAAAGGTATATTCATTAAACTCTGTACATTTCTTTGAAAGAAACGTTAATTGCATTGTGTACATTTGTGAATTGGTAGGCTGCATTGATATGTCAAAATGGAAAAAGTTGGATTCGAGGAATCTTGGGATAAAACCCTCCATGGTTTCGCAACCCTCTTGGACTGTCTTAAAAATTCTTCAGAGTGAAGGTAACATTTTGTTCTACTTTTGCCTTCATTGTCATTATATGTATTTGTGTTGATGTTGCTTTGTATTTGTATTAAGTTAAGAACTTATGTGTTCTTCCCCAGTTCAAGGATTGGTCCAAATTATTCAGCTAAAGACGTTATTCTCTTAGGCTGGAGTTGGATGGTTTGCTTATCTTTTTATATATGCAGGGTTTGAAGCCTACTTAGTGGGTGGATGTGTCAGAGATTTGATCCTCAAAAGAGTACCTAAAGACTTTGATGTGATCACTACAGCTAATCTTAAACAGGTTTTGTTACATTGTCTTTCAAGTTTTCTTCTCTACTCCGTTAGGTTGTGATAATTTGCGGATGAAATTCAGGCTTTTTGGTTGTTTAATGCTTTTACAGATCAAGAAGCAATTTTATCGTGCAGAAATTGTTGGACGACGATTCCCTATATGTAGGGTGCATGTTAAAGGTTCTGTCATCGAGGTTGGTTGGTGAATTTTGTAATTATGTTAACTTGTTGGCATGACTTTTTCTTTTTTGACATGTCTTAAACTTGTTCAAATAGTATGCTCTTGCATTTAGTATCCTACCTTGATGATGTTCTTTTGTTCTGCATCTGATTCCTGTAACAGGTGTCCAGTTTTGAAACGGTGGCAAAACATGCTGGAAAAAAGGAAGCTGATTCCCCTTGTAGGCCACCTGGCTGTGATAAGAAAGATTTCATCCGTTGGAGAAACAGCATGAATCGGGACTTCACTATTAACAGGTAACTCCGTTCTTCCATTTTTCAATTTACTGTATATGACGGTATGGTAGCAATTTTAAACACTCTTGATTCATTTGAACTGTGTAAGTTCAATGCCATCTAACTTCAGGAGACATTTTGAATTGTGCATGCAGTTTATTCTTTGATCCTTTTGCAAATAAGATCTATGATTATGCCAATGGAATGGTGGACTTGAGGTCCTTAAAGGTATCAATTTCCATTTGTTAATAGTAGACTTCATTTCTTACCAATATATCATTTGAAGTTTATTAAGATGAGTTATTGCTGGGTGACATGGACTTAGCTACGGACGTTAGGCTCTGCCAAGTTGTCATTTGAAGAGGATTGCGGTAGGTGTTTTTTATGCAAACTTTGACACCATTTGGATGCAACAGCTGAATGATTGTATTGGATTAAAAAAACGGGATCATATGCAAACTCTGTAATGCAGCACGAATCTTGCGGGGTTTAAGAATTGCTGCTCGTCTGAGTTTGTCAATATCAAAAGAAACTGAGACTGCGATGCATAGGCTTTCTTCATCCATTTTAAAGTTGGATAAGGTATATCATAAGGACTGTATTTGTTTAAGTTTATTTGCTGTACCTTTCTCCTTTTCCAATTGTTTATTGGAGGGATGAGATCTCATGTCACTTGTTTAAACTGACATTCATTTTCATTTCAGTCCAGAATAATGATGGAGTTGAACTATATGCTCTCTTATGGAGCTGCTGAGCCATCATTCTGTTTGCTATGGAGATTCGATCTACTCAAAATTCTACTTCCCTTTCATGTATGTGTTGTCGCAGTTTCCTGAATTGCCTTATTATAAAATAATTTCTTAGTCATTAGTTGCATATATGATAGATTGTTAGCATTGCAGGCAGCATACTTTGATCGACAGAGCAAAAATATGAAAACTGCTCAGAGTTCCACGATGTTGATGGTAAGCATTGCACTACAAAAAGTTTCTTCAGTTTTAACTGAAAAAAAAGGAAATCCATAATTCTGGAAATCTTAGGAGATTATGAAAGACAAGAAAATATAGGTCTCTAGTGTATGACTATTTTTTTTTCCATGTTGAGCCAAATTAATGTATACCCAGCACTGAAATTTAGTTAGACTTTGATTGTTCTTTTCTTTTTCAACAGAAGCTATTCTCTAGTTTGGATAAAGTGGTTAGCTGTGATCGACCTTCTGAATCCAGTTTATGGTGAGATAATTGTTTATTGTTTGTTTCTGTTAATTTATAGTATTTAACACATCATGGAAAGTTCATTTTATTTGTTTAGTTTATAAACTTGTTCCCGGGGACTAGTTTAAAATTTTGAATTTAGGAATTAACAGTTTTGCTCCCATATATATTGGCAATCAACTTATGGAAATGATTTCAAGTGAGGTTTGTAGTACAAGATTTGCAGGACTTGACACTTCCTAAGCTAGTTTTGCCTGTTCATTACTCCTAATCAACTTGGAATTCAGCATTTGGTACAAACTTTGGGTTTTTATGTGTACTGTAGTTGCCACTACTGATTTTTTTTGTCTATTACAGGGTCGGACTGTTGGCATTTCACCTTGCACTAGTCAATAACCCACAAGATGCTCTTGTAGTGTTGACTTTTGCTTCTGTCCTCTATCATGAAGAATGGGAAGAAGGTGTTAAATTTTCCAGAGACAATGCTGAAGGGATCTTTAATTATGTACCTGAGATCTTATGCTCATCTGAATTTAAATCAGACAAAGAACTTGCAAAAGAAGTTTCCCAATTAGCTTCTTTTGTGCTAGATTCTATTTCTGCTTTAACTGCAACAGAGAGTCTTATTGAATCAATGTCCAGATATCCTGTTTTCCCATGCTCTGGGTTGGTAAGTACATCTAATTGATATTCAATCCCTAAGCTGTAACTTGGAGCAGAACAAAAAGAAAAAGAGAAGTATGTTATGCAGTGCCTCTCATGTCACTTATCTGCAGTTTGCTGATCCCACCCTTAAATGGTGTTGTTATCACACATAGCATTAATATTCAACCATGGTGCAGAATGATTTTATCTGAACTTTTGTTACCTTTTACCTTAGCGTGCCTTGATTTTTTCTCAAAGGACAAAGTCACAAATTGTTGGACTATAGACTAAATGATAGTTTTTTTTTCTAGTTTCTCCTTATCTGACTCTTTTAATGGCCTACTATGCGCTGTTTCTGTCAAATGCCATCCCAGGCGGTAACCCTTGTAGTGGTTCTTTTAAAAATGTTCGTTGGAGTGCTTGTATGTAGTTTTTCTTTGGTTGGTGTGCTTTTATGTTTTATAATATGTCCCTAATACGAGTAAAACTTATTTGATGCTTTAGGTATTTGTACCAAAGAAAATGGCTGAAGAGGTTGCTGAAATTTTTAAAGGGCTGGTGAACATCAAATCTTACAATAAAGGAAGGAAGAGTTTTCAGATTGATTACCACTCACTTGGGAAAGGCTATTTGAGTGAGGTTAGATTTGTTATTGGAAAAGTTATTTTAGAAACCATGGACAGTGGGATTTTGCAAGGGAAGGAAGTTGTTCAGGAGTTGGACTACCACCTGCTGCAGGAGAACGTTAAAAATTACAATAAGGGTAGAAAACGCAGCCTTATACCAGATACCCCTGAAGTAAAACAAGAGATGTCCAAGAAACTGAAGTTGAAAGAACAGAAATGCAATCTGTTCAAGCAAGATACAGCTATCAATAAGCAAGAGGTCGTTGAATTGTGTCAAGCACCCCAGAGAGAGTTAATTGCAGTTCTGGGAAATATG